TACCTTTAAGATATTTTCCTTATAGTAAATTATTTAAATAGTATAAAAACTTGAAATTTATATCTATTTATTTAATATATAGACGCAGCCTATGTCCAGTCCAATCATTGAAATTCAAGAAGAAGGATATAAAATTTCTAGATCAGAGAACAGCGTCATTATCAAAAATAATTTTAAAGATACTCCTAAGAAGTCCAGACGTAAATGTAAATTTTGTGATAAGTTCTACCTCGCATCTAATGCTAGTGATGGGATAAAAGAGGCAGCTGTAAAAATGAAGAATAAATATAAAATTTATTCTGATTATATGAATACATTTGAAAATTATGTTTGCTCTTTCCTTGACCCAAGGATTAAAAAAAATATATACCAATTTACATCAATAAAATTGAGTATTTTGATAAATTTAAAATTTTATATAACAAATATCTGCCCGGCACATACAATGTTTATGAATATAACGACGAAGAAAATCCAGCGAATTTGATGTCGGTATCCATATTTAACGACCTCAGAAAGTAAATATAGAAATTTATTATATTTAATCATATATTTTTATAATTCGTTTTTAAGGCAAGCTTATGATTATCCAGAGCCGTCAAAAGAAGAAATTGACGATTATATTGGAGAACCAGTTGCTAAATCAACAATAAATGTTTTGGATTGGTGGAGTTCTAACATCCACAGATATCCAAAATTATCGATGATGGCCAAAGATTTTTTTTCGCATCAATCTACGTCAGTGCCTAGTGAAATAGTGTTTTCTGGTGCTGTAGAAATGTTGACGAAGAAAAGAAATCGCATATGATCGATGAAATTAAATGAATGTTTATCACTAAAATCATGGAATTTTGATATATTAAGTTTAAAAGATGATTTTTGGACATGATTGATTACTGTATATAATAAATTGTTATTAGCAAAATATATAAATAAATAAATATTATTACAAATATTTTATTTTGGCTAACAATATAAATATTAAATATATTTTTTCTCAAATCATCAATTTAACAAAATTATAAGTAAAAATGGAAAATATTTAACCAAGATTTTTAAAAATAAAATATAAAAAATTTTTTTAAATTGTGAATTTTTAAGTATTGAGTGTTATTTCCTTTCTAACACTTTTTTATAAAGTAATATACAAAAATATATAACTTTAGCTATTAATTGGAAACATCTTTTTGAGGCAAAATTTCCCTCTCATTCAGTTTGCTTAATAAATCATATAAGTAATCTAGTTTCATAAGATTTAAATAAAATTAAAAAAAATATATTTTTTTAATTATCTTCCAACCCTCCTATATTGGTAAAGGGTTGAATTTAAAATTAATAAATTAATTCCTTATATCAAACATGGTTAGTCTACTATTTTTATTATCTTGAGAAATAATTATATATGGATAGCCAGTTTATAATATTGTTAATATATGGCTGATTTTGAGCCGATTTTTTAAAACGGCTAACTCAATATTTCAACCAGAAAAATATTGCCTAAGCTTCTAGATTTAGAAAGTATATGTCTATACATTTGTTCCTTCTATGAGCAAAATCTTCCGGATTGCGTAATATTTTACTGGATAAATTGAGTTAGCCGTTTTTAAAAATCACCTGAAAATGAGCGTTTATGACACTAGGTTATAACTGCAGTTTATAAATATATGCATTCTTTATTTAATTCAATTATATAACAAATAGACGTAGCGACATTAAAGAAAAATTAATCCTAGATGTATTGTATTTTTAATATTTTTTAAAATGTATAAGTTATTTTAAAAACTAAAATATTAAAAATATCCATTAAAAATTACAAGACTGGAGTGGAAGAATTTTTAAATATATTTATATTTATAGTTAAAAATAAGCATGTGAGCTACCTAAGAGTTCTGGAGGCCATTCATGTGGCTCAACGAGAGGATTTTCTAAAAGGAGCAAAATGTATATTTATTATTATAAGTTAAAATATTTGTTGATATTGAAGATAGAAATATCAATAATCAACTCAAACGATTGAAAGATGGACGAGCCAGCCCTGAATATATAGTTATAGTATGTAATCTTGGACAGGCCTAATTTTTTTTTTGAAAATCGGAGCCAGGACGTAATTTTTCTATTTTAAAAAATCGGACCATGCAAATGACACCTCTGCAGCTATCTGACAAAAAAATTATTATTTACAAAAATCACATTTAATTATTCATAAACATGAATAAAAAACAACTTTAAAAATGTTTAAAAAAAAATTAATTAATATTTACATCGAGAAAAATATTGAGTTAATGAATGATTATTTATCAATCAAATTATCTTTAGCTTAAAAACAATAATGATTTATATTTAAACACTAATTTTACACCCATTTGCGTCAAAAAACTTTAGAAATAACGATTATGACAATTGTCACATATCTATAGTAAACCTTCACTGAGATTTTAATTTAACATGTTTAGATCCTATATTGAAACCCATTTGCGTAAAAAAATTAAATAAACCTCAA